TACTACGTATACTAACTATAACACTAGTACTATACTAGTATATATATATACTATATAACTAGTACTATATATATATATATATATAGTATATAGTATATATATATATATATATACTATATATATATATATATATATATATATATATATATATATATATATATATATATATATATATATATATATATATATATATATATATATATATATATATATATATATATATATATATCTATATGTATGTATGTATGTAGCCGCGACAAACACTCGAGCATCAGACCGAGAAGCCTGGTCTATGCTGTTATGTACCATGTAGTTGTACTATGTGCGCTGGTCTTTTTTTATCTTCTGCCTTCCTTACTTCCCATTTATTTAATTTTTTTGTCTTTCGTGACAGACACTCAAGCTTCAGATCAACGCGGCGTCGGGTCAAAATTTGCCGCCCAACGGACAAGGAGTTATCACACAGATCATCAAAATCGCCAATCCTTCACAAGTATGTGGACACCACGGAAATGCCATTGGTTCTATTTTTAGATTGGTTTGGCGTGCCTGCAGTTGATTAATCCATTACACACCTCAATAAGGACCGCACTATTTGCAGCCACATAACTTGTTCAAACACGCGTGAACGTACTCTGCCAAGTGTATACTTCAGGATCTTTTGTGTTTCTCGCTTTAATCAGAATGTGTCCTCGCGTACTAGCGTATCGCTGTTCAGACATCTTGTCTCTTGACTAGTATACGATGGTCATCATAGCGACAACAGCTTAATATATTAATCTCTCTCGCTTTCTTTGTAGAATTTTTCAAAATCTTCATTTGTCTTCGCGTTTCGCGTTTTGAAACCGCATCTTTGAGCTATATTTAACCAGCTACTACCAAACCCTTCTAATGCACTGTACAGGCGGCCTTGCGAATGCGAACGAAGTTGTCGTTCAACACACCACAGGGGCCTATAAACGATCAAAGCGCGGTGGACAACTTCCCGGCTGGCCTATAGTGCGGGGGTGTATACTTGTGCTGACCGAAGGATAGATAGATACAGATATAATAAAACTAGAATATTTTGTTTCTTCGAGGTTTGCGTTTTATTGGATACAGCATTGATCGAGACTGATCTGGCTCTAGGTACGAGCACTGTCGATGGTGAAAAATAAATCCATTCTGATACAAATGCAAGCCAAGCCTGTTCTCCTTCTTCCCGTTACTGGTATTTGTGAACATACAACTTCGAAGTTCGCACTTTAGCCCCACTGATCAATGAGATACAACTATCTGGATTTATTTGGTTATTGCAGTTCATAGATTCTTCCGGACACACTGCGTATTAACTCCTTGCTACTATGGTTAAATAAACTCATTTGAACTCTCCATCATATTGTTATGAATAGTATTGGGCCTCTTGTCAGTATCTGAACCATAGTATAGTAAATCAATCTAGTGTGCTTGATAAGTGAGCGTTAAAGTGTTCTGGAAACAAACTTTCACTTTTACTGTTATGAATAGTATTGGGCCTCTTGTCGGTATCTGAACCATAGTATAGTAAATCAATCTAGTGTGCTTGATAAGTGAGCGTTAGTGTTCTGGAAACAAACTTTCACTTTGAAGACCCTTGACACACTCGCCACTTCGAACCGTTCAGCAGCTAACAAAATATCATAAGAAGATAGATACTAGCATCATTACAGTATCTGTCATGAGCTCTGGGGTCTAGATGCGTATAGCAACAGCGTATGCTAGGTGTCGACAACCGACCTTTTAAATTCATACATGTGTTTTTAACCTGTGCACCTGTTGTTTACTATGTCTTGCCACTGACCCGCTACGATATACACAGACACAGTGTACGTATTGAGATGCACTAATGAAATGTAAATGTCTTCCAAAACTTAAGCCAGTTGTGTACAGCTTCATGCTGGATGTTTTGTCGTTCATTGCATAAGTACAACCCGCGAGCAGTGTCAACGTCGATTTGATTTGTGACGGGTGTGGGCGCCCTGGGCGGCGTCACCTGACAAGCCAAGTGTCGTCTGTCGTTACGTCATCAATCTTGATCATTTACCGATATGGCTTTTGATAGTAAAATGAAAATAAATAAAACATGAATATTTACATCATAATCTCGTCCCAAGTCCGTCTCACTCACTCACTCACAGACGTTATTTGAGGTTTGTACAATAGGTCTAATCCTAAAGCTGAAGTCTAGCTGACAGAACGGCCGGCACATTTTGATCTGATAACATCACCCGGTTCGATTCGTATGTTGTAGCATGCCACCATGTGTAGATAACAAGTCGCTATTTGCTTGAGATATGTATATGAAGTGCATGCATGTGTAATATCGTCAAATAAATTTTGCTTTTATACATAGTTAGATACACAATGCTAGCCCTCAAGCGGCAAATCTTATCTCAAGATGAATCCGAAGTCAATCAGGCACGCTTGGCTCAGGCGGGTATGAATCCGGTCTTCTACGCACACAGACGGTCACAGCTATTATCCGATACACTATGCGTTGCGCCTTTAAACAACACAAAGGAGAACACAAAGGCTGAAAGTAAACGCCGAGATAAGCAATACGAGCGCACAGTGCGGTTTGCTCGCAGTGAATACGTTGTAGTCAGAAGCCGCATACTCCAGCATCGATATGCCAAGTATGTGAAGAGTGCTGGCCCAGAGCCAGAAAACAAGCCCAGTGTTAAAGTGGGGGAAAATGATGCTGTGGATGTTATAGATACTTCATCTGGAGATATGGAGTATGTCTTAGGGAACAAAGGGACGCCGAGAAGGGCTGCAAATGAAGCCTTAAGTGAACAGAAAGTCGCAGCGAGAAGTGTTCATGGACGCGTGCGCGACAACACACTCAGCCCAATGAACAGTGCCAGTGACGGCAATCTTGCACGGTCCTATGGTTTTAGGAAAGGATTTGAGTTGGATGTGATTAGAAGCGAGGAGACTTTGACTTTGAGTGGACAACATATCCCCGCAGATACACCGCACGAACAAAGTAGTCTGCGTGCACCTATGCCGATAAAGACGACTACGTCTACGGATAATACCAAAGGCACACACCAAGACGACACCGGCACAGGTGTACCACACTTAGGAACACACACGAGCCGGCCTCAATATAGCGCACACCGACGGATCGAAAATTCACAAAGTTTTGCCGGTACCTTCCGATCATACCGCAGTCTAAATTCCCCCACACATTCTGACCCACATAGCCCACTGGGGAATGGGAATACTAGTCAACGAGGGTTTGGTATAAATGAGAGTAGTATCGGTGCTGCAGGGAGTGCAATCAGTTCTAATAGCTCCGGTGTACTAACGCGATCGGGCAGGAGTGAAAGTAGGCTGCTGGGCGTATCTCAGAACGATGCGGATCTGAGTCTGAGTCTCAAACCAACCAGTGCGAGTGCTAAAACAAACAGGAGTAAGACTGTAAGTGTCGATACCCAGGGGGGTACACATGCTGGGGCAGGGATATGGTCACCGTCATCGATGCAGGCATTGGCAACGCACGGGTTGAGTGCAGGTCACTTCCCTGCTGCAGGTGGCGGTGGTACACATGAACGTATACGAACGACCAGGATAACCATGGATGAGGTATGGTGCTAAGTCTTTTTGTGTGGGATTTGCATACGGATGCATACAAAAATACATACATACATACATACATACATGCATGCATGCATGCACATACATACATACATGCATGCATACATACATACATACATACATATATACAAAAATACAAATATACAAAAATAAAACATACATACATACATATATACAAAAGTGCATACATATATACATATACATACATATATGTATG